AAGGTGCCGCTGCGGCCCACCCCAGCACTAAGAGCACAGACAGCAAGGGTTCAACATTGCCACAGCTCCCCTCCCACTGCTAGGCATGGCTCCCAGATGCTGCACCCTGGGGCTCTGGTCCTAGCTCAGCATGGGTCTGAGGAGCCATTCAGACAGCCTTGAGTTGGTGCTGAACATCTCCAGCTGTCTCATCCCCTGGAGCTGCAGGGCAGGCTGCAAGCAGACCTGCAATCCGCAATGCCCAAGTAGGAGACGCTCTACAGACCAGCTGTGTCTCCCAGGCACTGCTTTCCCTCCCAGTTTGTGCACAAGCAGGACCCTTGTCCCCATGCCCTCTCCCACCATCCCCTCCTGCCATCCCCTGGACCAGAGCCTCGCCTGCAGTGCACGAGGGTCGGCCCCGCATCCCTGGTGCTCTGGATGTGCTCCCGGACCAGGTCTCTGAAGGTCATAATGGAAGTTGTGGACTCCGGGATCCCATGGTCGGGCCATGCTGTGTAGTGCAAGTGAGACACGTGCCGTTCTGCCCGGAGACTCTCCTGCCAGGGGGAATGTTGGTGATCAGCATGCAGCCCACCAGGACAGGGCATGCATGCACCCTGCAGCCCTGGGAGCATGCGGGGACTTGGGGACACCCAGCTCAGCTGCAGGGAAAAGCCAATGCCAGGTCTGCTGCAGTGCCTGCTCCCCCTGTCCTCCCCAACAGTCCCCTGCCGTGGTGGGGCTCGTGGAGGTGGCAAGGAGGAGCCCTGCCTTTGACTGCCGGGGAACTGACCCTTGAAGCTGCAGGCTGTGTCCCAGCGCAGGGACGTGGAAAGAAGGGATCAAGGGTGGGCGGCAGAGGGGATACACCTTAACAGTGACAGACTGCTCCCCAGGTCTTTGAACCCTGCTAGTGGCCAGGGAAGGAAATTACACCACCACCAAGAAGAAACACCACGGCATCCTTTGACAGGTCCCCGAGTCCATCCTCTTGGGTCTTTACTCACATGCCATAGTTTGAACTCGCGCATGGTCCACTCCTCGGAGCTGCTCTGTGTCAGCAGGTGGACCCGGACCTGCCCATAGGAGACCGGGGCAGATTCGGATGGCCAGTAGTGATCACAGAGGACCTAGAGCACAGGCAAGACGGGGTCCCAGTGAGGCCAGTGAGAGCCCAGGTCCCACTGGGTGACCTCACGGCTCTCTGGGAGCATCTGGAGAGCAGCAGCTGTGCAGGGAGCCAGGGCAGGTGTTAGGGAGCAGGCAGGGGTGCTTCCGTTTCCCACCAGGAGCTTTGCAAGACACCCCCCCACCTCCCCTTTGTTTGGATCTCAGCCTCCTCCAGAGTAAAGGACCTGTGTGGGTCTCATCACCCCCGGGGACTAGAGGAACAGTCTATGTGAGGTGTCTCATACAGAGGCAAGTGGTCAATTCAGATGCTGCAGAAATATCTTGGTGATGGGCATGGTTCCAGCTAAGCTCCACTTCTGCCCCTTCCTACCCCAAGCTAACGCTCTGTTCCCCCCAAACTGCCTGTTGGGGAAGCTGTGTGGCACGTGCTCACCCTGGAGCCACATCTGAGCAGGGACTGGCAGAGGGCAAAAACCCAGCCCAGGGCTCAGCTCACAAGACCAGGACTGGGCTCACTGGGGCTGGCACACAGAAGCCCAGCAGTGCTGACCTACCCGACCGTTCTCCATGCACACTGTCAGCATGATGATGTTGCAGATGTTCTGCTCCCACACCAGCCTCCAGAAGTCCTCTATCGTTTTCTTCAGGGGCCCCTGGGTGACAATGAACTCCTGCTGGGATGTATAGCCCTGAGCAAGAGGCAGAGAGGAGGAGTTGGCAAGTTGCTGAGGCAGGTGGATCCTGCCCTGGGACAGAGTCAGTGCCTGGTCTGCTTTTGTGGTAGAGGGAGAAACGTCCATTGCCCTTAGCTCATGCAGGCACAGTTGCCAGGCAGATGATCTCAGAAGCAGCTGATTTCACAGGAAGAGCATGCTGCCCAACACGTGCTCTCTACATATTCAGAATAAAGATGTGACCCATGCCATTTCCCTCCAAGCAGTTCCTCATTCAGACTAACCAGGGAAAGACAGATCTGGGTCTTTCTTGTGCTCCCCAGTCATTGCTGGAGGTAGGGTGAGCATGCAAGGTCTCAGGCTGCTTCTTTGCCTTTGCCCCTTTGACACATACATGCCCAGTGAATCCACACACCCGCGCGTGCATGCTGCGTGCCCTGCCTGTTACCTGGGAAAATCGCCTGGATGGGGGATGTGGGCACAGCTCCAGGGTTGTTCAATGCAGCTGCACAGACCAGAAGGAGAAAGAGCAGACAGACAGACGGGGCAGTAAGCTGGGAGAGGACTGGAAGAGGATAGTCCTCAAGAGGAGAGCAGAAAGCCTTGCCAGTCTCCCCACACTCACACCTCTGCACTCACAGCACTTGCCATCTGACGATCTCCACCAATCCCTGCTAAAGGGCAATGTGCATCTCTGCCTGACCCCCAACTCCCTGCCAGCCTCTGTGGCAGCTTTTGCCCACCAGCTCCCACAACCTCAATCCAGGCAGAGATGGTGCCCCGTGGCCGTGTCTCTGGGGGGAAGGCAAGTGGGCACTCACAGGCATGAAGTTGGCATTGATATATTCTGAGTGTGGATCCTCCCCTAGTTGGCTCAGCTTGACCCGAGAGTGATCATCTGAAAGAGAGCATGCACACATGATCCCCCAAAGCAGCCCCTCACCAAGACACAGCCATCTCCTCTTCACCTGGCTAACACATCAGGAGAAGCCCCAGCAGCCAGCAGCGAGGCTCTGTGCTCGGTGAGGCACCTTCTCCCTGGAGAGGCGAGCATTGCCTGCCAGTGGGGTTAGCAGGGGGGTGAGAAAGCAGAGCTGGTATCGTGAGGCTCATGGGAGAAGGCATGGGTCCCCCCCACTTTTGGTCTCCAGCTGGGACCCAGCCCTGACCTGGGCTCACCCAGCAGCCTCCTGGAGGAACTGAGGAGGACGGTGGCTCAGCCCCGGATCAACCCTTGAGCCTTGAGTCTCCAGCAGGAAAATGGAAACCGTGGCCCATTTCAAGACTCCTTATTCTCCCTAGAAAGGAGCCAGGCACTGTGAACCCTGCAGTGACTCAAGGTGATCCCGTCTCTGTGCATTGCAGTGTGAACTCCCACCCTGGATGCTAAGGGCAGGAGGGAGGAGACAGCACTTACAGGGCAGCACGTGGGGATATCTGTTCTTGGAGACATTCACCGGTAGCTCTGCCTCCACCTTAGGCTGCTCTTTCCCAACTTCCTTCAGCTCCTGTAGGACAGGGGTGAAGATAAGCACAAATGTCTCTCTGGAGAGCTCTTGGCCAACAGCTCTGCATGGTGTTCAAGAGGGTCACCATGCACAGGGAACTGCTCCGCTCCTCCCTCCATATGGCCCGTGAACTCTGAGCCATAGGTGGCTTTTCCCACTGCCTTTTCACACAGCACTGTTGGTATTTAAAAGAAAACAAAAGCCCAAGGACAAGTACTGGGGGGGGGGTGGGGGGGGAATCAACCCTTCTGAGAAATCAGAAATCTCCAAGAAGCTCGGAGAATTTTGTGCTGAGAAAACAGAAACATCTTGTGCTCTGAAAACAGAAATATCTTGTGCTGCTTCTGCCTCTGTCCTCACTCAGAGGGCCAGGGAAGGGTGATCTGAGGAGGGTTTGAAATCACTGATGGTACCTTTCAAAGGTGCTGGCAGCAGAACAATTCAGAGCCTGCAGATGTTAGCAGCGGGAGCCAGTGAAGGTAGTGTGAGGTGAATTTCCAAGCCTGGCCCTATAGCTCTAAGAATGCTCCTCAACCTTCCTTTTGGCTGCAGGCTCTTTTCTAACACTGCCAAGGTGGATCTCATTGGAACACCACCCAACATCTTCACCTCCAGTCCAGGCCTGGGGCCCCTCGCTTTGGCCGCCAGCAGCTATGGACAGTGCTAGTTCACCTCACGCCATAGACGTGTTTCTACCAGAACTTGAAAAAAACAGGTTTTGAGAAAGGAATTGCCTGATCACTTGGTCCATCCCCTCTTCGGCCTCCAAGACTGCCTAGTAGGGTGGCTGGACTGCTAGAGAGATAGGTTACTGTCCCTGGAGATGAGGACAGTACAGGCCACCCAACAGCTGGGGCATGAGTTCCCTAGAGGGGAAATTAAGTCTCGTCTCTATCAGGAGTCTCATCTCACCTCAAACTCCTGGAAAAAAGCGTGGTTAGCACTTGCTGTCTTCATCTCATAGTACTGCTTGAAGTTCTGTATGGGAATAGGCCGATGGACGTTTCTGCATGAAATGAAGTCCAGAGGAAAACTTGTCTTAGATATTGGGAGGTCTGGGAGGCCAATGAGACAGCCCAGCCTTGAGACCTGCAGTACCTGGATGCACACACAGAGGGATGGTTTATAGCCCACATCATTGCCCAGGAAAGTGGGTCCAACAGAGTAATTGGGAGGGATTTCAGGATGATGAGGATATTCTCCCACTGCAGAAGACTTGCAGAGGAGGCATGGACAGTGCATTGACTTGGAATGGAGCTGGGCAATAAACACTGAACATGGGAAAGCCTAAGATTTAAAAAGTAACTGAAGGAGAGGAGACAGAGTTGGATTTTTCCTAAGTTAAAGCATAAGAAAAGATGTAGGTGAAGGACTGTGGGACCTGCAGTGGGGACACACAGAGAGGGAAGACTCCAGCACCCACCTCAAGCTGTAGGTCACCATTTCCTGGGGCAGGCTGCTCTTCTTGGTTCTAGAATCAAAGCATGGGAGATGTTACTCTTCCCTGCAGCACGTTGCACATGTGTAGGGTTCTGTGAATTAACTGCACATGGGCAGCACTCCTCTCCCCTCTGCCTTTTGCTTCTGTGCTTGGCAGGCACAACTCCACTAGCAGGTGTCCTAGTTTGTCTAAATCTCTTTTTATGCACTCTCACTGCTCTTCCTCCTGGCCTTGCACTGAAGGTTGGGTTTCTCAGCCTGCACCCACCGACTACGTGACGGCTCATCCTCACCTCTTTGCTCTGAGCTGTTTCCAGTAGACCAAACCAAAAATAGCTGCAAGTGTCAAGAGAAATCCTACGATGATTCCAGCGATTATTGGCATTGAGAGTGGAGTTGTGTCTGCACCAGATTGAGCAGCTGGAAGAAAAAAAAAAAAAAAAGATAGAACGGACAGAAGAAAGAGTCAGTAAATGGCTGCATTTACTCTATTATATTTGTTATATCCTATGATCTTCCTCTGGGTCAGACTGTTAACTATCTCTAACCCATGCAGCCAGGAAGGGAAAATGGCATTGTTCACCTTACCTGAGAACATGGTGAATGTCACTGCAGGGGCTACTGGGTCATATTTGGTGAAGGCAGCAATGCTGAACCTAGGGCAAAGCAGAGTCCTGCCATCAGAGGCAATCTGAACTGACAGTCTGAACTGAGCACAGCACCCATGCCGTCAGCAGCAGGAAGACCCAAAGGAACAGGACAGCCGCCTCTGTTTGGAAATGCTGTGTTGGAAGAAGCTGGTTTTCTGGTAGGGATTTAGGGAATTTGTGGAAATGGTCTTTCCTTCTTTTTCTGCCTCTTGGACAAGTTTGTTACACTTGGGAGAATATGAGAAAATGTTTAGCAAGCACAAATGGGAAATAGCTCTCCTCTGAAGGGTTATTTGCAGAGATAAGTAGCAAGTTTTGGCTCTCTCATAGG